ATGTACCCCCACTCCACCCACATTGAAAAAGCTTTTTTTAATGTAATGTTTAAACAATATAAAACAAAAACACATGAATAAAAAAGCTTGTGACAATTTCATTGATAAAAAATAAATAAATAAATAAATCCAAACTGTGAATCCCGCCACCAATCTGCCTTGATATCCATGTTGTTCTCGATCGGCATGATACACAAACTCCTATTGTGTGTCTTACCCATCCACAAGTGTTTGTGTGTCTTATTTAAATAAATGATAAGGACTGAACTGCAGCGTGTTAATCTAGCTGGGGCAGTTCACGGCCAAACGAGGGTTACGACCGGTCGAGATATTAAAATCATGTGTGGTGATTACTGGGTCGACTGCAGCTCAGATAAATAGTGCTGGCTGTCAAATTCAAGTGCCCCCATACAAATCTGATAAACGTTCTGCTTTAGTACGTGGAAATACATTCGTGTCAGCAGTTCCTCTTYGCTCAAGGCTGTGGTTGCTAAAAGTCATCATTAGCTCTGAATAAAATTGACATGACTTCAGCTTGCTTTAACTTAACTGCACCCCTGAGCAAAATAAGGGGGTGCACAACTAAAAAAACATAAACTAAAAGGTATTTTAGGGGTWCCCTTCCATATTGAACCTGTCAGTTTTAATAACAAACACTAACAGKTTTGTAATATTAATGCATACATATTATCTGTGTATTTGTTTTCAGTCATCACCATCTCTCTGTCTGCCTATCTTTGTTCTTCACCCAAACCAGAGGCTTAATAAAACCAACATCAGTACCAACCCGTTGTACTGTTTCCTATTCATGTATTCTGACAGGGAAAACATTGCAAAGTAATCATCCACTCTGTTATATAAGCAAGCATGAGAGTGAAGAGTGAAGATAAAGCTCAAATCCCAAAATAAAAGACTTTAGAAACTGCAGAAAKGTATTACATCATTTTACAGCCAGCTATATGTATGTACTTTAAAAACTAATAAGAAGTTCATAATWTTGTACATTTTTCAGAAAATATTACTTGATTTATGTTAATTTATCATACTCTTCTCAAGAATATAAAATGGCAATATTTTACACATACTAGACTGAAATATAAGCATTTAGAAAAAAAAAGCTTCGCTAAAACACTTTATATTTAATAAGAGATACAAGAATCACATGCTTCTAAAGGTGAGACTCCTCAAAATACTGTGTACAGCTGGTATCTTTGGAAGTAAACACGTTTTTTGTTTGTACTTGTTAAGAATTTCTTGATTTACTGACATCAATCACGTTGTAGCCGTTCAAGTAAAAAGCCAAGATTCAAGATGCTCAGATAAAGTGAGAGGAAAGTGCTCCTGTGTCCAACTGACTTTTGATTTATTGGCCCACCGTACAGCTCGTAATTGCCAAGTTAGCCAATGCTCGAGTGGTTTTTCAGTTCTGAATGATTTCTAACGTGGCCCTCTGTGCACATGTTGACGTGAAACAAAAGAACACCTGGTCATGACTTCGAGTCATGCTTTCTGATATGTTGTCAGACATAAATCAAATTAAGTGCTGTTAATGGGATTAGAGCAGGGACACGTTGGGGGAGACATCAATCTGGTCTGGAATTCAGCCACAGCTTTGGTCTTTTCACATCTTACTTTCAGGGTCTCTCTGGCCAACTGGCAGAGCTGACAGACCACAATGATTTACAGTAATGCCCACCTGTTTTGTTTTGTTTTTCCCCTGCAGTGGTAACTTAACTTGTACACGTTCATGCTAATGTGAAGCAAAACGTAATCAATGACCAATTAATTTTACATTTCCTCCAGTTAAAGTAAATACTTTGAGTATCTTTCATTTTACATAATTTATCTGCAGCATAACAAGTAAGCACTTTGCTTCAAATAAACAGAAAAATTAAAAAAAATCATTGCCTTCAAATTTTGACTAAAATTGTTCTACAATAAACAAAAACTCAAGGTTGTTACTGCTACCAGCAAAAATATGAACAAATACCCAAAACTACATTCATGTTATCATTAACCAGGTGGGAACATGTTTTTTATTGGGTTCTATGGTAAGGTTATGAACAATTAATAGCTTACCTGTTTCAGATAGCTCTTTGAATAACATCAATTTGGAGAAGCAGAGTTTAATTTTGATCGGAGTAATGAGCTAACAGCTTGTCCTTGTCCTAGACAAAGACCAAGATGGATTACTGCTGTTTTAAAACATCTCATATTTCAAAAATGTTCTTGCAGTTCCATGCAAATGCTATTTTATGAACTTTTAGCTCACTGATATTTTCTCAATAAATGCTTATTTACATGGAAACAGGATTATTAGTGAGTGCAAATCATGCTAGCAGCTGCAAGCTCATGCGTTTTGGTGCAGCCTTGGACACTTGAGGTAAGGTAATATTTTTTCAGCTAAATGCACAATTGACAGTGGTGCACTATGGCAGCATTCAGGAGAGTCAAAATAAAACTCAAGCTCTCTAAATTAGGAATTCATAAAGAGCTGTCTACAACAAATATTACATGCTAACTATTCATAACCTTTTCACATAAAATCACATCAAGATACCCTGAACTACCCATGGTTTTGAATAATAAAAGTTGGATCATCAGGACACATCCAGCAGCTGAACCTGCCTAAAGAAAACCGGTGTTCTGTTACTCTACGTAAATGTGCAAACCTTTCATTGTTGCTAYATTTAAATCTCATTTCACATTAATGAAAACGTTTGCTTGAAACCTACAAACAGCTTTATCTGCCTAACTGTCTGGATATTGCTATAAATGTGGAAAATGGAGACATTAAAGACATTTGAAATGCTTGTAAATTGTAAAATACTGATATTTTTATTTTTCAAAAATGCAGCAGAAATGTTTTAGGCTCGTCACAATCCAGCCATCCGCTGAGACGGTAAAACCCAAAAGAAAAAAAAATATATATATATATATATATTATATTCAGTCAAACATCCTTTAAATGTCATTTTTGTGTCATTTTTCTAAAACGTCTTTGCTTGCCACAAAATGTTCAGCTTCAGTTTTTCACATATTCTGTTAACTGACTTTCAAGAAAAAAAAACTCTCATGAAGAAGTTACTTTGTGAGAAGAGGTTAAATAGGCCTCACTGTGACAAAGCTGCATGTGGTCACACAGTTGAGACTGGGAGGGGAAAGGAAGGCGGTGAATTGGTACAAAGGGAAAGTTGGGAAAATACAAGAATAGAAGCGTTTCATTGTTTGGGCCTTTTGATGGACTCGCCATCGTTGGGCTAGTTGGAGCATAAATAAAAGCTTTTTGTAGTTTCCATTTTAGCACCACATCTTAAATACTTATCAATGGGATTTGTTTGGAATGGCCTCTTTAAATAATTGATATCTTGTTTTATTGACAAGAAGCAGTAACTACCATGGCCCTGATTGACTCACAGTGAAGTCAGCTGTAAAAACCACAGTAAAGCCATTATGCTCTCAAGAAAGTAGTTTAGATTTGAATAATAGATTTAATTTCATTTAATGTGTGTCTTGGCAAAATTAGAACAAAACTAATATTGCTCCTTTAGGAGGATATTAAGGCATGAAAAGCAGCATATTGGAGCCACGTTTGCCCGTAATGTCGAGTCCCTCGCATTACCTCACAAAGCTACGGCGACTTCTTTTTTCATTTACAACCAAAGACCAACTCATTAATCAAATCTTGACCCAAACCATGGTCACAGGAAGTAAACCGACCTCCACGCTTTAAAATACGAGCTTTAGAGAAAGGGTGTGCCGTTATAAATTCAGTTCAACCAGACAAACTCGTTTTAACCGGGGTTTGGGAAAAAGATTTAAGTAGCTCAGTAAGACACGGGGGTCTCTTGTGAAGACAGAATTTATAAAACGTAAAGAAAAAAAGAGAACGCATCCTTGAATTTTTGAGACATTCTGTAATCTAGGACCCCATTAATCATCCCAACCTGTCTGTCTGTTTGTTTGCCATTAATTATAAAGGGCTGGGTTTTTTTAAAAAGGGTAAAACATTGGGGGAGGGAAAATCAGGAACAAGAGGTTAAGTTCAAAGACTTTGTAGTTTTTGGCTGGTGCTCAATCATCAAACCATTATTGCATTATCTACACAGTACTAGCTCATTGTCCAAAGTTTAAAAAAAAGAAAAATAGAAAAGTCAAATAAAACAGGCAGGATGGTGTGAAAATGCTTCAACTGCTAAACAAGTACCTAAATGCTCACATAGTTTAAAACACTGAAATGTCGGTGCATAGCAAATGTAACTTTAAATTGGGGTACTGTGTACATATTACAAGAAGGTGAGATAGAAAGACAACCAGCCTTGCTTTAGGACATCTATACAACAATATATTAATATCTGAAATGAAAGCAATAATGTGGTTAAATAATTTTAATGCAAGAGCAGGTAAATTCTATAAATCATAATATATCATCTGTATCTCAATTCTATTTACAAGAGTTTGACACGTAGCTGGTTAGAGTGATTCTTCAGTGAATCTGGCAACACTTCAGAGGCCCTTTTCATTCTGCTGAACCTAACTTCTGTCTCTCCGAGCACTTTCCACGCTGATTTTTTTTCTTATCGCTTCGTCTCGTTTCGTTTTTCTTCTCCAACTCAAGAAAATCCTTATCTTTTTTTATGCTATCTGACTATCTTTTCTTTCAGCTAGTGTTGTCTTTTTAATCCTTTTTTTCCTCTTTATGTTTCTCTCTTTTTTTTTACATCCATCGCTTGCTAAAATGTTCTCAGCTTGGATTCTTGGCAGATAGGACCTTTGATCTTTTTAATGGRGGGGAAAAATGCTACATTCACATTTTAACAGGTTGTTCAAGTTGACATCAGCAGTCGGTGTGTGGTTACGCTCTCAGCTCATTTCAGACGTCTGCACCTGAACTCCTCCGGTCCCCCCCCCCCTCGGCCGCTCAGGTGCAGGAAAAAAAAGTGAGCCGTAGCCGAAACTTTTGCGAAAGCGCTCGTCGTCTTCCTCCTCGAGTGTAGAAAAAGCTGATTGAAAGTCCAAAGCAGGTTCTTGAGACACTTTGCATGGATTTCTTGACTCATCGGGGTTATGAGATGCATCTCCGGGGATCCGGTTTGTACACAGTCCCCCAACATGCAACACACAGATGTCTGCCTTTTCATCCTGTTCCTGAAAAATGTCTCGCTGCTGATCCATCTGTAACAATCCTGCAGGGTAATTAGTAGAGGTATTTCAGTCKGTTTCAYGTGTGTGTGTGCGTGTGTGTGAGAATAAGTGTGTTGGAGTGTGAGCTTTAACTCTGTCCGTGTATGTACTAGCATCTGGCTGCGGTTATACGCGTGTGGTGGAGTGTGTGTGTGTGGAGATGTGTGTGTGTGGTAAGTGTGTATTACTATATGGGCTGTGGTGTGTGTATCCCTGGTGAGGGTGCCCCATCCTCATCCCAACCACCGATCCGGGCGTCATGGGGGTCATTGGTGTCGCAGGAGTAACGGGGTGCGACCCCGGGGTCACGGGCAGCGAGCCTGGGGTCAAGGAGGTTATGAGGGGAACGTCGTCCGGCGAGCGGCGCAAGGTGAGGGTGTAATCGGGCGGACAAGTGAGGCGCACGGTATCCAGTGTGCTGTAGATGTCCTGGGTGTCCAAACCGTCCAGAGCATCCAGGGTGTCCAAAGTGTGATGGTGGTGAGCGTTGTTTCTCTCGTCCGCTGAGGCTACGTCACACTCCAGCTGCTTCACCTAAAAGTTTCAAAGGCAAAAATAAAAATATTGTTGTCATCAATTTACGAGATCTAGAACCAGGGCTGACATTAGCCAATTTGGTGCCCTTGGCAAGATTTCCAATTTTTTAAAATCTCACTGCAAATTTATGTACCAAATTCAATAGTTTTGTCTTTGTATCATTAGAAAACAGGTTGTCCAATTAAAATAGTTAATATATTTAATTTGAAACAGAAGACCTCATATCTGCCAACGTTTACTGACAGCAATAAGGAACGCCTGTTCATGTTAACCAGCAGCTGTGGAGTGAAGCAGTTCTAGGAGGGGGTCCAGGGTCATATTCCCCTGGAAAATTTTGCCCAAATTATACTCATAAATATGCATTTTCCAGTCATTTGATAAGCATTGTACGTACTAAATTCTTGGATATAGTAAAGCAACCTAAAATCAGTATTTTGTGAAGGTAGAACACTGAAAACCAGACTTTAACCTGATCTTAATCTGAGATCATAACCAAAACTTCCATTATCTTTATTTTTTTATTTACGCACTGAGAACCAGTAATTAGTCTTGACTGCATCATATCTCAAAATATCCTCTGTACCACATAACACCTCATATAGTGACAAAGCAGGCTGAGAAACCCACAGAACAAGTTACCTTCATAAACTTGAGTAACCAGTGACTATTCTACAGACTCAACCAGATAAAAAATATATTTTTAAAAAGTACATTTTCCCCTCATTTGTGGCACCCTCTATATGGACAGCACCCTTAGCATTTGCCTACACTGCCTGCCTATGCCAAGGGCCAGCCCTGTCTAGGACTAAAGTTGTTTTTTCATATTTGAAATAAATAAAACAGAATCAAAGCAAAGTTTATATATGTCTTTTTAAATCCCCAAAATTTGAAATGGATTAAAAARAATCCAAATAAAATTTGGAAAAAGCACCAAACCTTCTCAGCTGACCATCAGTCATCTCTTATTTAGATTGCACATCACCCACTGCCTTTCATGAAAGAGTTTTAGACTAAGATCGTCTTATTATCCTGTCCGGTGACATGCCACAAGATAATACTGCATGGCAACAAGATCATTTTGAGCCGCCGTGTCTCTGTGAGAGATACAGGCTTTGTTGGAGTCAGATTATGTATRAATATGTTGTTTTGTTTTATTTAAGTAACTGTTTAAAGGAAATGGAAATGACTGCAATTGTTATATTATGGCCACAACATGTTATTTATCTTTTTTCTTTATCCTATGTCACCGGACGGGCTGCAAATCTTGGTGAGAAATGAAGAGATTTAGACGTTTTGGTCAAAACTGAAAAATAATTTAACATAATCTCAGAGTATGTGCTGAGAATGACTCTCAGCTACTAACACTCTATCATTAATGATTCCTTTATGCTAATTTCATTCAAATACTTCCAGTGGTTGATGAGATATTTTGGCAACAGACACGAACACAGGCCAAAACGTTACCGTCCACTTTTGCCTTTCAGCAGCAGGAGATAAAAATGTTTCAATCGCAAAGAACACGGCATAGAATTACAAAAGCTCCTATATAATCTGACACAAAAAGCTTCCCATTTGAAACCAGATGATAGTATATACATTTATACCTGTTGTATTATAGGTTTTAAAACTTGTACGTTTTAGTAGGCCACTAAAACATCATTATGAGTGCTGAAATTAGCATATGGACCATTTTACACAAGCATGAATTAGAAAATATTGTGTGCTAAAACCAAAGGCTCTGATTGTTGTTAATTTTTCTGGTAAAGGCATAAAAACTGCAGTGGGGAAAAACAATCAACTCAGCTGTGGTGCTGAGTTAATTAGTTCGATTGCTAATTATCAGGATTTGTCAACTGTAAAAAAAAATATCTGACATTTATCACTCTCTGTGTGATTTTTCAAACTAATACAAGACGAAACAGAAAACTTGAGGAAGAAAGCCAGATATTCAGTTAATGAATAGAAGGCAATGAAAAGCAATTCAGTCAATTGTATATCACTCCCACACACACACACACACACACACACACACACACACACACACACACACACACACACACACACACACACGCAGACCAAATTTTACTCTGATTATGTCTGCTGATGACAGGCTGTGATTTGCAGGAGTGCTCTCTGCATGCAGCTGTGCTTCTCACAGTCTGAGAGTTCAGTCATCTTTTCACACAACCTTAACTGATTTTATGCCATCGACGTATACAAGAAGATGTATTAATAACAGAAAGCGTGAATGTTTTTGTGGTACTGTGTCTTTTTTACTGCAGGATCTATGTAATATAGACTTAAAGGTTGCAGAGTTTTAACATATACAAATCTGTTTTCTCACCTGTAATGACATGAGTCCTTCCCCCTGCAGATGAGCTGCAACATCTGCAGGCGTAATGTCCCGTCGAGGAGGAGGGAGTGGGCGTGGCCTTCGATGCTCYAAGCGCCTTTTGTCCTTCTTGTAAAGCAGGGCTGCAAAAGCAAGTATATTGAGAAACAGCAGCGAGGCTCCGACAGCGATGGTCACCGACAGTTCAGTGGAGTAGTCCTCTTTTGGGACACGAACGCCCTCTTCTCCACCATCCTGCCCCAAAGGTGAATCCGGTGGCTGAGGAGTGCCTCCCTGGGAACCTGGGTGACGCGTACTGATAGGAGGCCAACCCTTGGACAGACGCTTGGTGTAGGAAAAGGGAGTGTCGTCTTGTGGAGAGGGGCTGTGGGTGTAGGGGGACATGGGCAGCAAGAGCTCGTTGATGTGATGCAAGTGAGGGACCAGCTGGAGCCAGAAGGAGATCTTGGTGGCACGGTAGTGGTCTCTGACACGAGGCTTGAGACCAATGTGGAGGTACAGCTGCTCTTTAGGGGTGTATTTAGACCAGGCAACCTCCTCGAAGCGGTTCGGCTTTGTGTGGATGAATTTAGTGTCTTGAGGAACTGGCTGGTTTGGATCTCTGGTGAAAGACAAAACACAAACTGTTTATGTATTTTTTATTCTAGCACAACACATTATTGCTTGTGGATATGGTAACACTTTATAATAACCACACCTTATTTAGCCTTACTAAAACATTAATGAATGGTTTTTTAACCTTGAAAACAATCTTTATTAAGGATGATTCATAAATTAACATATTTATTATTGTTTTACCCATAAAGGCTACTTCCAAAACCAAAATACTCATTGTTTATTCATGTTAATAACCCATGAATTAACTATTTTATATATTATGTGTATATGTATATAAGTAAATAATCATATAAATGTACTTTCAAACCATGCTTTAGACAAGTATTAATGGTAAGAGAAGGTTTGAACTGACTATGAGTTAATTTATGTGTTCAGCATGAATAAACATTGAATACGTTGGTTTGGGAAGTATTTTATGGAGGACTGAAACTGTCATAATCGAAAATAAAAGCATAAATATATAAATGGACCAATAAATAAATAAATACACTTAAAATGCACTAATTAAATTTAAAAAGAACTTTACCTCATGTTTATAATTTAATTGACTCATTTTTTGTTTGTTTTTCCAGCTTGGTTCCAATAAATTATATATT